TAAAGGACGTGACGAGTACTTGGGCGGGGGGGGGGGGGGGAGATTTTTTGGACACTTTTGTTGATGTATCTTGAGTAACATTTATATCTGATGCACTAATTTGACTAATTATAACCTCTACACTGATTGGTAATTTTCTTCGGGTTTGGCAACCAAACTGTTTGTTTGATTGCTTCTTTGTTTAAGTGTTTATTTGTTTATTTGTCTGTTTGGTTGGTTGGTTGGTTGGTTGGTTGGTTGGTTGGTTGGTTGGTTGGTTGGTTGGTTGGTTGATCGGTCGGTTGATTGGTTGGTTGGTTAGTTGGTTGGCTGTTGAATTGTTTGTTTATTTAAGTAAAGAGAAGAAAATCGACAAAATAACGGTCATAGGGTTGGGAGGACGTAAGACCGATGGACAGAAACAACAGAGGGAGAGAAACAACAGAGGGAGAGAAACAACAGAGGGAGAGAAACAACAGATGGAGAGAAACAACAGAGGGAGAGAAACAACAGAGGGAGAGAAACAACAGAGGGAGAGAAACAACAGAGGGAGAGAAACAACAGAGGGAGAGAAACAAAGGTGGACCTGCCAGTTGCGTTAATGGTCACTTAGTCCATTGAAATAACACGAGGAACGATCAGTAACAACAGGGGGGCAAGCAAGAAGTAGGACATACCAGTAAGGGCGCCCTTCAACCACCCAATGCTGGAATGTCCAGACTGGGTTGATTTTTCAGTTTCTGTAGTTCCCCACTTGTCTAGAAATATCCTTCTGTCCTTTCGGAGATGGACGTTAAACTCGGAGGTCCCGCCTCTCAAATAACCTAATAGTGTTGATAGAGGCGTTAAACCCATACCCAAACACTAGAAATATCCTATCGGTGATGGACGTGAATTTGAGTTTTTGCCTACAACATAGACTCTCCCACAACACCTGAGCCCATGTTGGATTCCGCCAGATAGTTTTATTGTTTGTTTTAATTACGCTTTTGTAAATGTTCCTGGCTTCTGGGTTGCTTTTTTTCCAATTTTTATACATGTGATCACTCACTTAATAGTCAACTTATCATTCTGTGTCATATTGATTTCATTCCCACACGACAAAAAAAGTAAATAAAATATCTATTAATCAAAAAAATGTCGTTGATTTTCTTATATCTTTTACCGTTGTTATGCGTTTACATTTATTGAGGTTTGAGGTGTGCTGACAATAAATAAGTAGCTTCTCGGATGTTGCAAAGATGGGAAAAGATTAGTCCAATTATAGGTTAGTTTGTACAATCTAGTGGTATGGGATGGTAATAGACAACAATAAAATGTAAAACTGGAAGCAAATGGCATCTGTTGAAAATTTTTAAAAAATTGACCCCTATCGATTTTGGCCGATATCCCCATTCCAGGGTTGTTAACATTAAATTAAATCATTCTATTCGAACACATTATATAATCATTATATGTTTTTTTCAAGACGAATCTATGGATACCCTGCTTACTTAAATTATAGTATTCTGATGAGCTATGATGCAGAAAACCTAGTCCAAATATTGATGGTAAACTCTTGAATGATTCTCTCGCGGTTCTTCAGTCGGTGGGACTTGAAAAAAAGTAAGTTTCCCTCAAGAGAAAATCGAACTCATATCTTCTTCAAACACTGAACGATCTGATTTGAAAAGCGGAACCTCAACGTAATATGGACCAGGTACCTCACAGCGTCATCCTGTTTTGTTTTGTTTTGGTAAGTGTTTTACTCGCTTGCAATTGAGTAAGGTCACGTGAGCGCGCAGGGCACATTAATCATTAAATTTTTTTCAGTGTGGTAAGAATTAACTTTGAATAAATTGCACGGGCAACTTAATCTGACAAATCCTTGAGAGCACTCTCGATCGACGAATCTATTGTTCAAGTTTCCTTTGATCTTATATGTGAGGCAGCTTGGTGGAATCAGGCTCTCATCAAAATAATTAAAGTGAAGAAACTTGCATTTTTCAGCAGGTTTGTGATTTTTTATCAAATTTTTGTTTTTCGGCTAAACTTTTTTCATACCCATTAAAGAACTCGTTTGTGTGGATTTTTCTGAAAAACGTTGATTAAAGATACAAAAAATGTAAATTTTTAGTTACCACGGACTCTTTAGCTAAGGAAATAACAAATGTTTGGCGGCCATTTCCTCACTAATTTACCTCTGAAAAAGGGTGAACCCCCACCTCCTTCTTTCACAATTATCTCGATTTTGTTTTCACGATAAATGGATATTTTTTTCCATCTATATAAAGACAAGTAAACAAGCTTTAAGTTGATACCAATAACTCTACATGCCCAAAAATTAACGAGAGCCTGATTCCCCCACGCTGCCTCACATATTTTCTTAAATTCGTCTGACGACGAAGTCATAATCAATCGAAATGCCCTTATTTTATTGCACTAGACATCGATTGATTTAAAGAGATAAAGAGATGTGAATTGAGAAGTGAAAAGAGGAGGGCGGGGGTTGCTTTGTTCCTATTTGTTAAAGATTTATTTTTTTGCGTGGAGAGGGAGGGGTTGGGGTAAAGAGTGAAATCAAATTAGAATGAACACTCGCAAGATTATTCAGAAAAAAAAAGAACTTGCTTTCTATCTCCAGGTGAAGTATTCGTTCTCTTCCAAACACTGGCAATTGAAGTATTCAAGTGTCAATCACAAACAAACAAACAAAATTTCATTCGTCCCGGAAGGTTCGTCGTGCAAGAATGTATCCAAGATTGCAATCTGAACTTAATGTGCTTTATTTAAAAGTTGTAAAATCCAAAGGGATGAAATAATTATGTTCAGGTTAGGCGTGAACTTAATTCTTTATTTGTCGTCTGTAATATATCACCCCATGAAGCCCTTTTTGTATTTAATTTCTTGTGTTCTCCAAAGGCTATCTTTCATCCATCCTCTGATTGTCTTCCTCGCGTCAATTCACTTCTTCTTCTTTATTTGGATCCGTATCGATTGCAATAACGATTACTTTGATAGTGTTTCGATTACGTTTCGTAAGACTTTGTGTCGTTCGAAGGGCTTTTAAAACATCAACGAGAAGTTGAACAATAGATGTGTCGGTCTTGGTGCTCACGTACTGGCGTCTATGACATTGCAGTTGGGTTCCTTTCCATCTCACGCAAAAGATATTATTGTTTGATTCGCGAGACAAAAGGGCGGGGACGGGGAAGGAGGGATTCAGAGAGTGTCTCAGTCGTTTTCTTTTTATTTCAGTAGAGGTTTTACGGCACTCGCAACTGCATAAGGTCATATGAGCGCCAATGTCTTTGTCTGCTGGGACGTTGTATCCCTCTCAGCCCGGGTTAGCCTAACAGTAAGGGGTCACAGCTACCCACCCGCTGCCTAAATGATATAAACTGGATCGATCGGGGCGTAAAATTCCTAACAATAACATTTCAAGACAAGAAGTCTCAAGGTTACGTACAAACTCGTTCTTCGTTTGTAACAATCTGCCTCCTGGGCTCGTGGTTTTTCCTTTTCTTCTTTCTTTCTTTTTTTCTCACAAATCTCTTGACAAGGTTACAACACATTGGCGATGACATTTTCCTTTCTTGGATCTGTCCCCTAATTTCAATCTGGGAAAACGAGAATTGCATCGGGTGGGAGGTGAAATCCTTCTTGACGCTCCTGGCCAATTGGAAGACTTAAAAGTTAAGCGAAGTGTACAACGACACATTTTTTTGTGTGAAGGTTCCCGAGCCTTGGAGCAGCAAAGAAAGGAGACGGAGAAAGTCGTTACTGTAACTGTCACAAGTTGAATCACTCACACACAGTGAGCGCTTTTTTAAATCTTCTCGCTGCTCAACCAATTTTCTCCAGCCAGTCTCCTCCCCCCCCCCTGTTTTTTATGTTTAGTTTTAGTTTTAGTAAGAGTTCCACGGCACTTGCAACGTTTTCCTGTCTTTTTGCTTGTTCATCTCCGCTTGGTATTAGATTTAATCTAGTAAGAGTTTTACTGCATTTCAACTCAGTTGGGTAAAACAAATGCCAAAGAATAAAACTGCTAGAGAGGAACATACAAACCAAAATTGAACTCGGGTCTCTTGCGTGCGACTGTGAAGTGTCTAACCGCTACACCACAGACACCGGTAGTAAGCTGATGTTGGGTCTTGAAATCTCACCCAACAACCCTTATTCAAATGCCTCAGAATCATTGGCAACGTGCCCAGTCCTTCAAAAGAATCTCCCTCGGGGGGCTCTCGTGGCCTAGAGGTTAGGGTGTTTGCCTCTCATTCACAGGTCCTCGGTTCGAATCCTAAAATTGTCTCCTTTCACCTCCTTTCCTGCTCTCTAGCAATGTTCTATCTTCTGCTTCCGTCTCCACTTTCTGCCCCCCAACGCCCTCACCTCCTTTGCCTCCTTCTCTAGGCTCCTAACTCTTTCAGCAGTTTTTCTACTGCTATTCCTTGGCACACCTAGCCTTCTCGGACAAGGGCGAAAAATCGCGGTGATCCCGTGTGCAAGTTGCGCACGTTAAAGATCCCTTGGTAGTCTAAAATCGATAAGAGTAGGCTTCGACTGCCACCGGGGCAAAATTTCAAAATTTCCTACCAACTGAAAATGTTAGATGTGTCTCTAGCGCTCATGTGACCTTATGCAGTTGCGAGCGCCGTAAAACACTTATTCGAAAAGAAAAATCTTCCTCATGATAGATTTCAGCTTTATGTTCCACCGAAGGCGTTGTGTACAGGCGTCTCGTGTCTCAGCCACTTGTCCAATCCGTGTGTCCCTTTCAAACCTTTCTTCGCCCTTGTTCTACTCGCCTCTCCTCCAACTGTCTACAGACTAACTTTTTCCATACTGTATTAATTGTCTTCTTTGAGATATCACCTTCTGAAGACTTTTACGTCTTTAATATCTTCTGTTCTCCGAATGCCACCTTTTATCCATCCTCTGATTGTCTTCTTCATTCTCTCACTTTTCGAAGGCTTCTTTCATCGGGCGCTCATTATGGGACGAATTGTAGTGGAAAATGACAGGTTTATGGGGCAATTTGT